ACATTCTCAGCACCTTCAACTGTTGTCACGTTTTTTTATTAAAATTTCTTATTCGCGAGTCGCTGAAAATATTTCTCCGTATTTTATACTCTACAGGTGCTACCAAAACAAAATAATATTTATTGGTTATATTAATATATTTAATTGTAATCAAAATATCAAATGTGCTTCTACATATTATTTTATATGTAGAAGCACTGAAAACTATTTAAAAATGGCAACGGTATTTACATTTCTCTGTCTTATGGCTCTACGTCAAACTTCAAATGCTGTGCTGTTCCATGTTTGTTTACTTTTTACAGTAGATGAGGAAAAGTTGTTTTTCGATATTTTGGCTGTATTTTGAATGATATTTGTGAAAAGTGAAATAAAATATTATAATAATGGTGCTACAGTGTTGCATTTGAAAAAAAAACGAAATATTTACATCCCGATCTCTCATTTCATTTGTAAGTACTGTCTATTTACATTGTTTAAGAATATGAGGAACTGAGGAAGCGTGTTTGTTTACATTTTAAAACACGTCTTTCATAGGCGTGCCATTGGGTTTATTCATATTCATTAATGTATTAAATAAGATATGAGTTTATGAAATTAGTAGACATTTTTAAATTGTAAGTAGACATCATCGGGTTAAAAAATATCTGTTTAGTACCTAATAGTACCTAATAGTACTTAATATTTCTCATGGATACAAATAAATTAGTGAAATGAATAAAACTCATTTATTTTTCTATATAGGTTTCCAAATAATACTGACGATATAACTATTTGGGTAGCAAATTTAGGAGAAAACATAAAGATTTTTTATTGTAGCATTATTTTACACTATTACCGAAAAAATTACCTATTAAAAAATTAACTTGAATTCAACTATATTTTATTATATTAATTTTAAAGCAAATAAAATTGTATTTTAATTTTTCTATAAAGACGTGATTTGTTAATAGTTAAACTCCCGTTTTTTTTAATTCTTTGAACGTGTTTTTATACATTATTACTACTTCCAATTTTTAAAGTCTGAATAATTATCCCCGCGACTAAAAATTCAAGCACGCTTATGCTCATTGAGGAAGCATCACATTCTATCGAAGCTTCAGAACATTGTGTGTTAAAGATATCTTATTGCTGTGTCAATCTGTGTTTATACGTCCATGGATGTAACCAATAATAAAAACCTAAATTATACTTTTTTCAGAATGTGTATAATCTTTTTTGAAAATGATTTTCAAACATTTCAAACATGATATCTAAACATTTGTTAATTAAAAATATGATTTTCATTACAACCAATAATTTTGGTTTATCCCATCTTCTTCTTGTAGTGCCTATCCATTTCGGATGTTGGCGAACATTATGGCAATCCCATACAAACATAATATTTGAATTAGACACAAGAAAGAAGGTTTAGAAGCTTGTTAGATGAAAATAGTGTATAAAATAGAAAAAAATCCGATTTGAACGGAACAGTTTCCAAAATATAAAATTTTTGAAATAAACAAATTATTGAACAGATATTAAAAAACAAGTCTAAAATGCCAAAAAATAAAGTATTTCTAATTGCGTTTGTATTTCCGAAATAATATATTAGTTATGATAGATAAATAATCAGGACAGCATTAGTGATTTCCATCTATTAGAGTAACAACAAAATTCTAGTAAATTTACAAAACAATAAGTTTCCTAATATTTATTTTATGCTGTTTATTATGTTTCCAAACAGATACTTTAGCGTAAGTCTGATAATAATCTGCCGAAACCAATATATCAGTACATTTGCACTTAAAACAGTGGATAGAGAAAAAGAACTTGAACCGTTGCGTTAGTCAGAAAATAAAATAGTACATTTTGTAGTTTTAAAAACAATTTAAAAAGAACTTTAAAAACAATATCTACAAAAATAAAAAGATTTTTTTTTAATTGATTTTGTTTACACTTCAGCATGCAGATGCACTCAACTTACTAGATATTACACATATTTACGAATTATTTAATACTTACAAAAGTCCATAATGTAAAAAAACAGTATTTGTATTTATCCATATATTCAATTTGTTCTCCAAAGTACACCTTCCCTTTCAAATGTTCCCCTAGTTTAAGAAAATGTTGAAAGGAAAAAACATTGAGGGATAACACTGCTAGAAATAACACAATAGGTGTATAGTTTTCCTTAGAATGTGGATTTCTACCTTCTGTGTGCTTCAAGGCTGTCATTTTTCTATTCTGTCACTCTTAGAACTTACAATAGGATTGAAAAATAAATACTAATGACCCCAAGTAAAAATCTATTCGCACCGGTCTGTTGTGATCTTACAGGCAGTCAGATTAAACGAGTTGTGTTGCGATACAATTCATGATCGTGCGTACGGAGTAGCTCTATATAAATACTTTAGATAAATATACGGGGTGCAATTTACTTTTTTCAGGTCTGATACTAAACTTACTATACAAGGGTAGATAAACAATATGTTCAAATCCAAATTCCAAATTACATTTATAAACTAAATCTAAACTGAATATGTGTCGACTATTTCAGAATATAGAAATTCTGGATTTAATCAGTACTTACACTTGTATTAACACAATTCCAAACAACATTAATTTATCTAATGTAGCTAGTGCTTTTTGGAAAATTATCGTAAGACTACTGGACGACTTAGGGATAGTTTCCTCTGCGGAACAGGAATTACTTCACGGATATGTGCATCAATATTACGAGGGGTAACTCTATGAGGACCACGGCGGGAATACCGCAGGGCTCCGTCCTGGGGCCATTGCTTTGGAATGTTCTTTACAACAAAATCTTGGAATCCGACCTGGGCATTGGGGTACAGGCATTAGCCCATGCGGACGACTTGGTGGTGCTGGTGGAGCACAACGAAAACTGGTTAATCATGCATAGAACGAACCGAGCCCTCAGCAAAGTGAAGACGTAAATGGGAACCAGGGACCTCATACTGGCGTACGAGAAGACTGAAGCTATGATCCTCAACGTCTGATACGAGGGGAGACCATATAGTTTTTGCACTGGAGAGCCTTTGGCACCTGCCAAAAAGTGAACTACTTAAGGGGTAGTCCTAGATACGAAGTCAAACCTTGGTGAGCACGTGAAGTATGTCGTTTGCAAGGCAGTGGATAGAACTTCGGCGCTGACATGAATTATACCCAATGTGGGAGGACCAGGAACTGCCATTGGTAAAATTTTAATGAAAGTGGTCCACTTTACCATGCTCTGTGAGACACCAGTATGGCAACGAGTGCTTAACGTCAAGAACTTTGGGAGAATGCTAGAAAAAGCCCAAAGAAAAGCACTGCTAAGGGTAGCACGAGCATAGAGCGGCCTGGATGGGGGTATTAATTCCAAATATTGAAGACTGGATGAAATTCGGCGACAGAGACACTAACTATTTTTCACCCAGTTCCTAACAGGGCACGACTCTTCCAGGGCCTACCTAGAAAGAATCGGAAAGTTGGCGGATGGAAACTGCGCAGAATGTGGAGTGTTTTTAAATATTCACACCCTAACAAGTGAAACCGCTCACGTGTACATGTGGCACGAAGGACAGGTAGGTAGGGTCTGCCAGGAGATAGCTTCTTGTTTGTTAAATTCGTTAACAGTCTTCCTACGACTGTGAAACACATCTCTGCGTTCAGTGACGGGGGGGGGGGGGGCATTTGTACACAAGTCACCCAATTTTGGCTTTATATTGTTAAGAATTCCCAAATTGAAGAAATTGTTGATCACCACTCACCACTGTTGATCATAGAACTTAAAAAGAAGAAGAACCGACGTGATATTCATGTACCAGAAGGCTGGATAAATTTGGCTTCCTCAGCAAGTAGAAAATTTAATTTGATCAAGTTAATGGACGCAAAATACAAAAAATATGAAGATCTGATGGAACTCTTGCAATTCGTCCCACCGATATACCATAAATTTTACATCAGCCTATCTCACGAAACAAAGACTAGAAAGCCTTTTAGCTACAGGTACTTTTGTAGACAATGAAATTGGTGAAAGCAATTAAATAGCTTTAAAGTGCCAATATCTAATATTTTCTGTTTTAATACTGTCGTATAAAAAGAACATACAAAATAGTTGTTTAAATAATAATAAAACCCCATGTATTTTTGTGCACAATGAGCATTTTCATTCTGACAAAATTAATGAGAGGTAAAGGAATCTATGTGTGCATTATCAATTATTTTTTATACATAAAACAATAACCGAATGTTGTAACACTTTCTACTATTGGTAATAAAAATCCAAAGACCTGATTATCCTTCTTACATGGTCAAAATGATGCGATTTTAATTTTCCTTCTTACAATAGTCTACTACAAGAGTTTGACTCTTGAGTTTTCTTAAAATGTTGATTTTGTTACTTAGACCCCTTGACTTCTAGGGGCCTCATATTCAATTTTCTTAATGTTGAGTTTTAATCCATATTAATCACAGGACTGTTTTATTTTGATCAGTAGATTTTCAACGTCGTAACTACGGTAGGTATTATCGGTATATCTAATGTTGTTCACCGTTATACCATATCACTACAAAGGCTTCCTTAAATATTTCCTCTGAAGAGTAAATATGAGAGTATATAAACCTTGCTTCACTCCTCTTTTTATACTTATTTCATCTCATTTATGGTTTTTGTTCAACTTTTATTTTTGCTACTTGATAAAAGTATAAATTTGTAATTATTGGAAGTTTTTATCATCCAATAAAGATCTTTTCGATATTCATAGCATTTTGTTATGTCGGATCTTCTCAAAATCCTTTCCAAAATTACTCTTAAATCAGAACTGACTATTACTAATCCCTCTTCTATTATCCTGTATTTTCTACTATGTATTACTCCCACGACTATCTTTTAAATATACCTTAACAGCTTATTGTTCCGTATAGACTGCATCTCTTTGCTCGGTGTTTCTTCGGTGGATTTGTTATTGCATACAATTTGTAAAAAAATTCAATACAAAATTAATCTATAAAAATATTTACTCAAATTTTAACAGCTTTGGTCTTTTTAAATTTTGTACATTTATTCCAACTTTCGTTAAACTTAAACCAGCAACAAATTGTAGAAGAGAAAAAGATATTTTTAACGGCCAACTCAGTATCCTGTAGATCGGGTACAACCATACTCCTTCGAGAAAATATATTGAGTACAGTCTAAAAATGTTTACAATATAATTACCATTGTTTCAATATGATGGGGCAATCACAAAATTAAAATAACCTTATTTCATTTACAAAAAGGATTCGACAATATATAATATAATTCGACAAAAAAAAATTAACAGAAATAATTAGGCGAACTGAATTGAACCAAATTATTATTTCTACCAAAAGGTAAAGAAACGATTCTAACTTTTTCCTATGTAAAAGTGGTTTTAGTTAAATTGGCTGAAAGTTTACATTGCTGATCAAAAGTTATTGTTGCCCCAAGACTCAGAATTCAATTGTTTATGAGTTACAGAGGTTCAAAAGGTCGCTCTTAGTCCATGCGAATATTACTTATTTTTGGGGTGTTAGTAAATACACACAACAAACTTCAAGAAGTGATTTTTCATGAAAAAATAATGACAGTTTGCTATATAAACATATGTTTGTAAGATATGTTTTTAAAAAGCATTTGCGACTACAATATTGATTGAAAAAAATGTATCTCTATTTGTAGCCATGACGCTAAAGCTATGACTGGCAAAAATAGCGGATTCATTGCAAAACTAAAATCGATAATCCAAATATGACTTGGACACACTGTTTTTCCGTCGACACGCTCTAGCTACTAAGGCAGTACCTTCTGATTTAAATGACGTGATTAAAGAGATAATAAAAATTGTGAATTCTATCAAAGGTAATGCTTTTCAAACCCGACTGTAGTCATTAGATATAGGCTCGCTTCATCAAAATTTCCTTGCCCACACAAAGGTTAAGTGGCTATCCAAAGGAAAGGCATTGATAAGAGTTCTGGCACTCAGAGCTGAATTGTTAATGTTGTTACAAGATGCAAAATCTGAATATGCTTATCGCTTTTCTAACTTTATTTGGCTCTTGAAATTAGCATTTTTGGCAGATCTTTTTAGTCAACTTAACAATTTGAACAAAAATCTTCAAGGAAAATCGGCTTCTTCTAGTTGAAACCTAAAGTGGAGTGGATACTTGTCATTTACTCGGCATCTAGGATAACAAAGAGATGGCCGTGTGTAGTTGTGTAGAGTCTGACAAATAATGGCGGTTTAAATGGTCAACTTTTATACAAATTAGCCTCTCCAGCGAAGGCTCCTAAATAACGAAGAGATTTCCTTGAGCCAAATGAAAGACAATTAAATCAACCCTTAGACACTTACCTCAAGATATAACTGCTTTTCTCAAGGTAAATTATGGTCGGGAGATTGAACATACCGATGAATAACAAAAAAGAAACCCTCCACAGCGTGGTGTGTGCCAGCAATTTGTAATAGAGAAAAAAAAAATAACCTCGGCTTCAATGAAGTTTTGCCGTTGTCAGTAATTTACGTGCAAGGAACATTCTGCCATTGAGGTGGTTTGCAGTTATTGTAGACATGAGAATATTGATTCTGACCAATAGTCAGATCTATTTAAAATAATATATTTTTAGTGTGTTTTTTTGGAACAAAAATAAAAAATATTAGTTTAAAATCCGCTAAAATTTAATTTTTTTACATCCTCGTAACAATTTCCCAACATTTATTTAAAGAAAACATTTACAAAAGCCGTCAAATTTACGACACGCGACCATTGGGATGTAAGGGACTGTGATGCGCAATATATAGCCTCTCCTGTCAAAATGTCAACCTCACCTGCCCGTGTGATGATCTTGATTCTGATCATCCGGTGCATCCTGCTTTACAACAAACGAGGCTCTGGCGTCCGAGCGATTGTTGGTATAAGCAATCCCCCACTTACTGACCAACGGCTTCGGGCGGACGAGTTGGTAAGTGGCAGGGCACTCTTTTGTCCTGGAATTGAGAAATTGATTCCGAAGGCGGAAGAACTATAAAACTACAAATTAGTCAACGGCATAAGGATGCAGAAAGCAAAGGAGAACTACTGCATTAAAGGCCTTTTGGCACTCCTAGTTTTAACTATCATGGCTGTAAATAATTTAAGTCAAAACATTAATGATCATGGATCTCGGAATCCAAGATTCGGCAAGAGAGGACAATCTCAAGACTGCAGGGCCTCTCAGGTCGTTAATATGCGAAATCCTTGCAAAATAGCCACATGGAACGTCAGAAGCATGTTTGAGTCAGGTAAAATATATAATGCCATAAAAGAAATGAAAAGAATGCAAATCAGCATCCTCGGAATAAGCGAAATGCGATGGCCGGGATCAGGAGTATGTGACGTAGATAGATATCAAGTGTACCATGCCGGAAACACAGATGCCAATCACTATAATGGAGTTGCAATCGTAGTAGCAAAACACTCAGCTCAATCAGTTTTAACTTATATTCCCATATCTGACAGAGTAATGCTAGTAAAATTTAGTGTAAAGCCGTTCATTACCAACGTAATTCAGGTCTATGCCCCAACATCATCTAGTGATGAAGATAAATTAAAAGCATTCTACAAAGATCTTACTGATGCTCTAGATCTTGTCAAAGTAGCAGAAAATACCATAATCCTCGGAGATTTTAACGCTAAAGTCGGCAAAGGACGATGTTTGAACATTGTGGGGGAATATGGCTTGGAAAACAGAAACGAACGTGGAGATCGACTTGTCCAGTTCTGTCAAGAACACGATTTCATTATATCGAATACCCATTTTAAACTACCACCGAGATGACTCTACACCTGGAAGTCAAATGCAGAATCAGAGGACAAAATTATTAGGAATCAAATCGACTTCATTCTAATAAAAATCGATTTAGAAACTGCATCAAATCAGTTAAAACTTATCCAGGTGCTGACATTGGGTCCGATCACAATCCCATAGTAGCTGTAACCCCATTAAAATTTAAAAAAAGTGATCAAAAAGAAGTCTCGCAAAAAGATTGATACAGCCCAACTACAAGACGAGAAAGTTAAGGAATCAGTTCAAAGACAACTGAACGAAAATTTAATTTGGGAAAATATTGGTGAAAACGTCGATGAGGGCTTAAATAAAATCGTAACAACAGTAAAAGAAATCTGTGTGAGAAATTTACAAGGCAGGTCAAAGTCAAAAAAGCAGGCTTGGATGACAGATGATATACTGGATTTGATGGAACAACGGCGACTAGCAAAAACCAACGAAACACTTTACAATAGCATACAAAAAGAAATTCGACGTAAAATACGAGAAGCAAAGAGTCAACATCTAGCACAGTGTCATGACATTGAAGAACTCGAAAAAGATACGACACGTTTAACATGTATAAAAAAGTAAAAGAAGCGGCTGGTATCTTCAATAAGAAACAAAATGCATTGCTACAGGATGAAAATGGTAAAGTAATATTCGAAGTAGAGGACAAACTTAAAGAATGGGAAAATTACGTCACGAACCTATTCGAAGACGATAGGAGTAGTTCACCTCCCGATATTACTAACTGCGACGGACCCCTAATAACACGCTGTGAGGTTATAAAGGCCATACAATCATCAAAAGATGGCAGAGCAACTGGTCCTGATGAAATTCCAACGGAAATATATAAGCTTATAAAGGATAGCAATGTTTTAGAGGCTATAACTTCGTTTTTCAATACCATTTATACCAGCGGACAACTACCTAATGGTTGGTCTAACTCACTGTTTATAGCTCTACCTAAGAAGACAACAGCAAAAACCTGTGCTGATTATAGAACCATCAGTTTGTTAAACCACTTATTGAAATTTTTTCTGAAAATACCTGGATTACACTCAGTTTGGTTTCCGTAACGGATTTGGAACGAGAGAGGCACTGTTTGGAATGAACGTACTTGCTCAAAGATGTCGTGATATATCGGTAGACATATACTGTTGTTTTATTGACTTTCAAAAGGCATTTGATCGTGTTAAGCACTCTATATTGATCGAAGCTCTAAAAGACATTGGCTTGGACGGCAGAGATGTTCGAATAATTGCAAATTTATATTGGAATCAAACAACATCAGTTTTAGTAGATGGTGTGGAATCACAAGCTCTCAATATTAAAAGAGGAGTACGGCAGGGATGCCTCTTGTCACCCCTGCTTTTTAACGTTTACTCCGAAAGAATTTTCAGAAAAGCACTTTCTGAAAAACAAGAAGGAATACTTGTGAACGGCGAAGTCATCAATAATTTGCGATATGCGGACGATACAGTACTCCTAGCTTCTAGTCAAGAAGATCTGCAAACACTACTTGATAGTGTCGTTGAGAGTTGTAGGGAGGCAGGTCTGGATCTTAACATAAGGAAAACCAAAATACTCGTAATAAGTAAACAACAGAATATAAAACCGTCTATATATGTAAATAATACCAAACTTGAGCAAGTTGATAAAATCGTCTACCTTGGACAGCAATTAAATTGTAATGCAGAAAATCACGGCGAAATTAGATCCAGAATAGACCAGGCTAGAGCTGCTTATAGAAGGATGTCCAAGGTTTTATGTAACAGAGACCTAAAATTGGCATTGGATCCGCCTACTTCGCTGCTACGTGTTCTCGGTCTTACTTTACGCTGTCGAGTCCTGGACTGTGAATAAAATTGATCTAAATCGCCTTGAGGCTTTCGAAATGTGGTGCTATAGAAGAATTTTAAAAGTTTCCTGGGTGAAGAAGATTCGTAACTCCACAGTACTAGAACGTCTCAGCAAGACTACTGAGATCATAAAAGCATCAAGCAGATAAAGCTGGAATATTTCGGACATGTAATGAGAGGTCCCAAATATAGATTGCTACAAAATATCATGCAAGGAAAAATAGCAGGCAAACGCAGTCCAGGACGAAGAAGAACCTCATGGTTGAAGAACTTGCGAGATTGGTATGGTGTAGATACAAGCATGCAATTTAGGGTGGCAGTAAATAAAATTAAAATAGCTATGATGGTAACCAACGTTCTGAAAGGACGTGGTACATGAAGAAGAAGGAGACCATTCAAGAGAAATTAAATGGCGCGTCAGATGGAAGATTAAAAACATTTGAAATCAAAACGCCAAAACAAAGGTAAAATGTAATTCTCATTACGATCTCATGAAAAAGAAT